CTCAGCTGCCAGTTGTCGCCTTCAGACGCTCCCCCAACCTTCGCGACACATTAGTAACAGCCAAACTCCCCTCTAATTCTACCACTTCCCATCCTCAACTCCCCCCCGGCTCTTTCCGTTGTGGTAGAAACTGCGCTACTTGCCCCTACATCTCTGACGGTCTTACTAACTATACCTTTTTTTCTACCGGCGAAACACGTCCCATTAAATCTCACTTGACCTGTGACACTAAAAACCTTATCTACTTAATTCAGTGTAACCGCTGTAACTTACAATACATAGGAGAAACTAAACGACGTTTAAAAGACCGTTTTAATGAACACCGCCGTACCATTGATAAACCTAACTCTAAATCTAAACCTACTACAGCGGCAGAACACTTCATTTCCTCTCCTAACCACTCTGCTCACGACATGGAGCTAATCGCCATCGAAAAAGTGTTTTCCAAGAGAGACTCGATACGCAAGGCCAGGGAAGCTTTTTTAATTTCAAGAGGCAACACTATTTATCCAGATGGCCTTAACGCTCGCGAAGAAATGTATTAGTTTCTAGTTATTTATCCAATTTACCTTACTTCATTTCTATTTTTGCTCACTATTTCTATTTTTATTGTTATCTCATTGTCAATCAAATTAGTTTTACATATTTCCGCTGTTACATCATACAGCTATCTATGAAGCATCACCCCAATTCTCTGTTAATTCCCACTGCACCTGAAGAAGGCTGGTTTGGCCAGCCGAAATATAGTGCTCCGTCTTAAAATGTACTTATCTACGTTGTATCGGTCTTGCCTCTATATTTATATTTCATATTCGTTATTTTGGGCCGATCAGATCATCGCTGATCCAACGTACAAGAGTAGGGGTATCGTCCACGGTTGCCTGCTGAACATTTCACTAATTCAATGATGTACTTTTTAAAAGTATCACTCAATACTTTCAAAAACATTCATAACCGCACGGGTAAACATAGTTCGAGTCATCGAACGACACTTCAGTCATCTATAGTTTTAAGATTCGCGGCACCAATTTTGTATACTAAGGCGAGCCTAGAAATGGCAACCGTAGCTAACTGAAAAAAGTTACGAATTGATTAACAATAAAAAACCGAAAAAAAGACAAATTATCGAAGTTCTGTTCACTAAGATCATGTATCTGCGAACTTTTTGATAACGGATCCACCTTAGAGACCATACTGAAAGGTCGAGGTATCTACTATTACAGTGTGTTATTCACGTGGTTTGGCCATATCTCTGCCCTTTATTCCTATGTAAATAAACTATCGTAAAAGCGGTCTGATAACATGCGGTCGAGATTCACTACAATAACAGAATAGTTAAAAGCTTACCTTTATCTTGTTTCTTGAAGAGTTGCCGTCTCTTTCAACATAAATGGTAGAAAATCATCTCATATTTTATAGCAAACTTAAACAACTTCTATTTATACGAGTAAAGTTTCATTTGAAAAGAAGTTACGATACATTTACATCTTTCAAAGGATAAAACCCTCATGAATCTATGAGACGTGTAGTGGCTTGTTGCCACAGCCAGTACAAAAAAAAAAAATAATAATAATAAAATAAAAGAAACCAGATGTATAACAGAAAACACTGAAATCAATTACTTACTCTTTCTGTCGCGCAAATCTTCGAGTTTGGGGCTAACGGACTCTACGTGAATTAGGTTGCAAACTGGGAGACTTGGACTTACTTATGTTTTCCCGCGTGGTTTGCGTGTGCTTGCTAATGAACTTGTTCCTCCCTCTACACGGTCTTTAAAAAGTCACACAACTCCTCCCCCTCCTCCCCTCCCCCCTCTTTCACACTGCCCTCGAACAAAGGTAATTTTTCATTTTTTCGTGTGAAGGATAGGGGGTGGGCCGGGAGGGGGGGGGGGATTAATCACAGTTGAATCACAAACAACAAAGTGTGAAGTATGAGTATTTGCGAGGGAATTTAGCTAAAGTGGTAGATTTGTTTTTTGAGATAGAACCTTTTTGTTATTTTATTTTCTGTCAGTCTAAAGTTTCGGATGAAAGTGTTTTCAAGACGATGTACGAGGAAAACTACTTCCATACATTTACTTCGCATAAATATTTCAAGAACAAACGACATGACCTGTTCCTTGGAATCAAACAAAATGGACGCTGCAAGTCTCCAAAGCTGACATATCCTGGACAAATCTCAGTTCAGTTTCTGTTGCTGCATAACAACAACACCGAGGAAAAAATGAGAATAACAGCGCCTGCAAGACAAAGTCGCGTGAAACAAGGGAGGAGAGACATGGGCTAAATCCATGACACAGAAGAAACCGCGACATTTACTTGGAAACAAGAGAGCCGTTTTCTGAGCCAAAAACCCGTAACTTTTATGGCACTTTCGGTTGCGCAAAGACTATTGAAATTTCCCTGGCCTAAATAACTTAAGCGTTCGACAAATCAGAATGCAACATCAAACATGTTGTTGGTGGAGATATTTGGAAAGTAGGTGTCCAATGGATGGAAGAGAAGAACTCTGATCTCATAAGCATCATTTAAAAGGAAAGTGCATCATTTATACGAAAAGTTGAAAAAAAAATTAATTCCCTATTATCAGTTAGCGTTTACATGTGAAATCGTCTTTCGATTTAGATGTGAATAGATATTCAGAGGCCCTTAGTCATGTTAATGCACCTTAGCTAAATAATTTGTACAACTTTCGAGCAATTCTCCGGAATTTCACCCAGAGACAAGCATTCACATTTTCGGTTCTATGATTCAGTCTAAAGTGGAACCACTGTAATGGAAACTTGTCGTCAACAAAAAAAAAAACAACAACAACAACAACAAAAAGTAACGGTCCGAAAGAATTTGTATTCCATGTTTCAATTTTTGCAAAGATTATCCCGATATCAAACAATAATCCGCGTAATAAAATAAAAGTCTCATCTCTGCATATATGATGTTTGTGTTCCCACTAAGGAAGATCCATGTATGATAATTTAACAATTGTAAATTTTCCGTTGCGAACCTTAAATTATAGTCAATTTCCTATTAGTTTTCCCGGAAGTAAACATGAATCATCTTCTTAGATTTAAAAACATCATCGTGTCTTTTCATTTATATGTTAGATAATGAATACCTTTCATTTTCAAGTGAAGATATAGTAATGCACGTTTACCTCTTGAGCTTTCGAAATTGATTCACATACATCTTTTCTGCCTTCAAGCTTATCAGTTACACGGTGTTATTTTGTTTAGGAAATAGCTGAAATAATAGGAGCGCCCGGAGTGGTAAGACAATCATTGTTTATTACACGACTCGGGCAGTCAGAGGGCCAATAACTAAAATCAACCAATCAAAATGCTCTATTGCCGGTCGATATTCTCTCAGTATTGGACCGGGCACTGTCCCGGATGGTCCCGAATGATATCGCACTTATGTCTCTTTGAACTTCAGTCGTATAATAAATCTCTTATTAACCAAGCTTGCTCGGGACCGTACGTACTGGAAGACTATCGGCCCTCGGTCTTTTTTGTACGGACCNTACGTATTTAATACCGCAGTTCAAAATATATGAACTTCATATATTCATTGTATCTGATTTATCATCACGGGTTTATTACGAATCAACTTAACGGCCTGCTCCCAGTTGGCTTGTTAGCTCAATTGGTAGAGCGCTGCACTAGTATCGTAGAGGTCAGTGGTTCGAATCCCGTACAGGCCTGATTTTTTTCAGGTCTGATTTTCGCTATTGCATAAATAGCGCTATCTACTGCGAAGGATCGTGCATCATACGTATTTAATACCGCAGTTCAAAATATATGAACTTCATATATTCATTGTATCTGATTTATCATCACGGGTTTATTACGAATCAACTTAACGGCCTGCTCCCAGTTGGCTTGTTAGCTCAATTGGTAGAGCGCTGCACTAGTATCGCAGAGGTCAGTGGTTCGAATCCCGTACAGGCCTGATTTTTTTCAGGTCTGATTTTCGCTATTGCATAAATAGCGCTATCTACTGCGAAGGATCGTGCATCATACGTATTTAATACCGCAGTTCAAAATATATGAACTTCATATATTCATTGTATCTGATTTATCATCACGGGTTTATTACGAATCAACTTAACGGCCTGCTCCCAGTTGGCTTGTTAGCTCAATTGGTAGAGCGCTGCACTAGTATCGCAGAGGTCAGTGGTTCGAATCCCGTACACGCCTGATTTTTTTTCAGGTCTGATTTTCGCTATTGCATAAATAGCGCTCTCTACTGCGAGGATCGTGCATCATACGTTTTATCAGTTAGGAAAGGAATTAACCATACGGCAAACAACATGAGGAAGAAAGCCGAGTTCAATCGCGCTTTGATCGTTCCTATTTTCAAAAATGTTCCAAATGTTGGGTTTTAATTCAAAAGCGGTTACACTCTTTCATTGGTTCGGAAGCAAAATCGAAAACCAACGCCGGCAACCAAGGAGTTTTTCGCGGCATCCCTGTCTTTGAACGAAATGAGGAGATAGAAAGCGAGTCAGACTGGAGCGAGATGGAGTGTGTAGGTCATTGCTTTCGGCTTGTAATACAGAGAAAAGAAATCCACTAAATCCTACTATTCTTTGAAACCAAATCGCTTTGAAATCGCTTCGCTAGCCAGATAAATTTAATCCTGTGGTCGAGCCAATCTCAAGCCGGCTGTCGCCGTTGAGAGCGATGAATTGAATGCTGTCCTGTCCGGGTAGAGTTGAAGTGGCTTGTTTTACTTCTCCATTTCGCTTTATGCTGATAAACATGTCGTAATGTTCTTTCATGTAATATTTGAAAGAGGCGAACGATAGAAAGAGGTTCTCTTCATGGTTTTGATAAAATAAACATTCGTCTGTTGCTTCCCCCTGCAAAAAAAAAGAGAGTCCTAAAATTGGTTTAACGAATTTCAATGGGTCGTCGTCAAAGGAATTTAAAAAACCGATTGAAAAATTACAACAGTTTTAAAACAAGCAGTCTGTGATCAACCGGCAGAGGACGAAAAAACAATGAACCAAAAAATTAATAAATTCAACAAATAGAATCCATTTTGCCGAGCGTCCGTTCAGTAATAGAGAGCACCGCATTTACGTGAAACGGCAAACGTCAGCTTGCCCTTTGACGTTCCATGTAAAACAGCGTGAATCTTGCTGCTTTAGCTTCGCGTGAGCTCCTGCCATGGTGGATTTAAAGTCGCTCTTGTATGACTTACAAGGAATAGTTTTGGTGCACTTTTTCCGGCAATTAACTTCTACTCCATGAGAGAAAAAGTTAAGAAAATCTTACGTACACGGCAAACGCGAAACAGTTCACTTTCACGTAGACACGGCAAAGCGCAACCCGCAAACGTGAAAAATGGCGGGAAAACAAGGTCACGTGCTCGCTGTTGTCGTTCACTTTTTACGTAATCGCGGTGCTAAATAGTCTCCTTCGCAGCTGTTGTCTGGGCTCGTCACGCAACGCTCCCTCCCCTATCAGTGAAAACAGCCCCTACAACGGATGTTGCTAATGACGTTAAAATAAAGTGGGCGGAAGTGATCTTAATCTGCCTCCTCTTGAGTCTAAACTGAATTACGTTTAATTAAAAACAAACAATGAACTTCTAAGAGGGATAGTCATTTTAGGTGTATCAGTTTGCCAGTCTTCACTGTTTGACTGTGGTCTGACTTGTCTGGTGATGACGAAATAGTATCTGAGCATGATGGTGGGCCCACGGAGTGCTAACAGTAGGCATAAGATTTACATATTTCTTTTCTGGAATTTTCCCTTTCTTTCCCACGTCGTTCGTTGGTGGGGGAGGGAGCGTTGCGTAACGAGCCCAAACAAGAGCTGCGAAGGAGACTAGGTGCTAAATCTCTCTAATAGATCACAAATGGCGTCAAATTACGGGTTAGAACAAAGCAAAGGTGGCTGACGAAGGGCAGCCAAGTGTGTCACTGATGCTCTTAACACGCACTATTTGACGTCTTCTGTGATCTATTACTGATCAGACGTACGACAACATGCATGGAATCTAGTTGTTCTAATTACTAATGGTGACGTCATCTATGCGTCTCACCTTCAATAGACGTTTTTAAGAACCAATCAAAATGTTTATATAATTTAGCTAATCATTTCAAAATAAATATGCCATAAGAAGAAGGAGAAAAAATGAGAGAAGAAGAACAACCACAATAATTTCGTATTTTTTGCAGTGTGGTATGAATATGCTTCATGATAAATGTCCTCCACTCACTCTTGTATGCAAGATTCCCTTGGAATTAATTGCAAAAAACTTCCCAGTTCCAATGCTTTGGATTCGAACAATACTTGGACCAAACGACTGAAGCTCAAATTTTACTGCAAGACAGAGATATATCATTTTTAATCCAACTGAATCACGATTGTTTCATTTGCGATCTACCTCTAGTGTGTAACGTGTTCTCGATTGGAAAAAGCGAGCGAAAAGGTGGGGTGGGGTGGGAGCGGGGGTGGGGGCGAAAACCAGCGAAAGTCCGTCGGTCGTTTTTCATTCACATCTTTGACGATAGCCTGGAGCAAGGCGAACTTCAACCGGAGCGACTAACACTGGTGAGAATTGCAAATCTGTAGGAAGCTCTAACCAGCTCTAATATGATCCCTTCGCCTTTTTATGAACTTTTTCCGTCCTTTTTTCAAGATACATCAACAAAGTTTTCCGAACGCTGGCGAGTATCAGACAACTTTCCTCTCTCTCAAGTAGACACTTCTTATGAAGGGGAAAGTTTGGCAACACGGAAGGGCACAGATGACTCAGGTATCAGTGTACATGGGAAGACCTCGATGGCGTCGGGATCGAGCCAGCGTAAATACCGCTTTGGTAACTAGTTCATGCGCAGAACAAACCACAAAAGGACAAACTCAAAGTTTTCACGAAACGGATACAGTCACATGCAAAACATCTTATGATCAATTGAAGATTTTTTCATTTGGAATTTGCAAGATAAAATTTGGAACTTGGAATTTGCTATAATTTACTCCCACCAGCAGTACCGTTGGGGATCAGATCAATATCTGCTTGAAACCGGAGGTCTAACTGGCCTGCACAGCAGTCGTTCCCATTTCCGTTTGCCCAAGCGGGACTTACGTGAGTGAAGCCGAGATTGGGGCGAAATGAGGAGAACAAGGTCCCCCCCTCTCCTCCCCCATCACTCAAGAATTTTTGCTCTTTTTCTGCCACATGCCCCTGGCGACCCTCTTAAGCAACCGCGAAAAATTCCACATGCAAATTCCAAGGGTTTATATCCTTCATTATTGCTCTTTTGGCGAACAACCGTTTAAGGACGTGTCAGATCTAGATTCGAGATTACGACCACTTTTCATTCCTTGATCTCAAGAGCGCCTTTTGGGTCAGTTCTAAATAAAGAAAGACCGGGTTAAGAATCTATACTTGTGCATTAAAGTAGTGATTAAAACACTGATGAAAAAATCTCTCCCTTCTTCTGTCTAACGTGGGGTAATTGGCTTTTTGATTAAGCGCTTTTGCGATGGGAACTGGGTTTTGCCGGAGTGTGGGTTCGTGCTGTTAAATTTTTAACCTCTACTATTTTACAGCACCGGGTGGTTCCATTCTTTAGAATATTTGTTTCATCTCTAGAACCTTTTGGTCATACATCATTCATCTGAGATATTACGATCGTGGTGTGGTAAAAATGAACTTGGCAGAGGTAGATATAGTCTTCTAGAACTTGTTTTAAACATTGGCCGATGGATCCTTTATGAAGCATCTAGATCATTTCAATTTGTTCGGAGACCTGTGTATTGATATCTAGACTTGATTAACAATATTGGCAGAGATTTCCTTCATAATAATAAGATTAAATATTTTCCTTCAAAAATCAACTTAAGGGGCTTATAGTGTTGCGCCATATTTTCTTGCATTTCTTTAAAAAAAAAAAAGGATGAACGAGCTAACCGAAAATAGTCTCAACTTCTTCTCTCCGGAGAATTATGCAGGAAATCAAAGTACATATAGCTTCAGAAGGTAGTTCAAACGTATTTGTCGAATCAGTACTGCGTTTTCGTGTTAAATTCTGCGATTAAAAGCTGTGACGTAGCCGGACGTTGCTTTTTTTTTTATTATCTTTTCTCACCTCTCTAACTCACAGCTGGGGAGGATACCCACTCGGGAGAAGATTTGAATAAAATTTGCTCACTGCTAATGACTTAAAAAAAACAAAATTTGGCTTCATTGAAACAAATGAACATTACCGATTTTCGGTTAGACACTGGCAATACATGTTGCAATTGCTTCCGGATCAAAAAAAAAAGCAGATGATAAACTAGGAAATCTTAAAACTTACGCTACTTACCATATGTACTATGTCGATTCAAAGAGCCAGAAACTGTTCCGTTTCGAGTACAGTGAAGAAACAGGCCTACTCGACCAAAAAGACGAATGCGCCTTCTGTTCGTTGGATGTTGGGTTAACGCGATAGGTCCTCGTTCTTTGATGTAAACTACTGGCCCATTATTCTTTATACGATGATGTTTGTGAATTCGGGGTGGATGGGTACTACTTGGGCTGAAGCTCGGCTTCGTCTCGTTGGATCTTCGTTCGTTCCCGAGATCATGCGATAGCACGTTACTTGCGAAAAGAGTGATTTCACAAACGATGCTTAAAACAACCTAGAATGTAGAGGAAACAGAATGATTAATACAACCCTTATCTCTCGATCTCAAAAGCAATAATAAACCTGAATCCTGTAAAGCCCTTATCGTGATTTGCATGATGAATATTAGAAGCCGTTACCATTAAAAGAAGACTTCTCATCTCGAACGACGTGGGAAAGAAAGGGAAAATTCCAGAAAAGAAATATGTAAATCTTATGCCTACTGTTAGCACTCAGTGGGCCCACCATCATGCTCAGATACTATTTCGTCATCACCAGACAAGTCAGACCACAGTCAAACAGTGAAGACTGGCAAACTGATACACCTAAAATGACTATCCTTCTTAGAAGTTCATTGTTTGTTTTTAAATAAACTGAACTCAGTTTAGATACAAGAGGAGGCAGATTAAGATCACTTCCGCCCACTTTATTTTAACGTCATTAGCAACATCCGTTGTAGGGGCTGTTTTCACTGATGCCACCCACTTTGATCCGAAAAAAAGAAAGAGTTGCGAATAAATCGATGCCGCTACTTTTCTGTCGCATTTTTCTATTTACTTGTAATGGCGGCACATTTTCTGCTTAAATAAGCAGCGAGGCCCACAAAGGATGGGTGCTCCTCCCTAAAGAACTGTGGAAAAGAGAGAGAAAATAACTTGAGGTATCAAATTCTTTTGCGCTTTTTCTCGACATCGCTTCGATTTCTAAACAAAAACAATGTTATAGACTACAAACTAAAATGCACAAAAAGTCACGCCGTTTTCTGCTGTGATGCATGCAGGTTTGATCACTGCGGCATAATTTTTTGACGAATTGCAACACGTATCCACCAATAAAATGACTGCATTGTAATTATGAAACATCTCGCTGGCTGATCAAACTCTTTAATTTGTGGAAAAAACAATTAACGTCTGTTTCCAAACCATTACAAAAACAGAGGCATGGTAATAACATCGAGGGCAGGGTGACAGCTCACCTTATTACCCTGTTATGGTCACTTAGATCACGCATCGAGGATTAAGGTAACACGATTGTGGCATTTATTAGACGTGAAATCTCCGCAGTTTTTCTCTTGCGGCGGAAACTGGTTTCAAAAATAGATTGGGACAGTTAGTAGGATTTATTTAGTTACCTTTTTATTCTATCAGCCCTGTTCTCAAGATTTTAGCAAAAAACGCAGTCTTTTCTCTTTTTTTCTTGTTATCACCTGTGTACCTGAATTTAGTTAATAGGTTACATCTGTTTCAAAAATTTATTAATAATTCATGAGCTTATTAGCCTATCACACGAGGCAAATCGATCACTTGTATGAACCTTTATAGCCGGTATAGAATGATCATTCTGAAAAGCCCGAAGATGGCTTTGATTTCGGTCTCGGGGGAAATCGGGGTACAATACATAAACAACGAAATCATCACTGAATTATTAATGAAAATATGATTACTGTGATCTTTATATAAAGATCACGTTAATTAGAATACCAAATTATTCCCCAAAAGGCAGCATACAAAAACATTAACCGCAGTAAACAACAAAGTTTGTTTTCCTGATAAATTCTTGTCAGAACAGAAATTCGTTCTTTTACAATTTCCCATTGTTCACAAAATTAATTGTGCAGTTTTGGAAGACACAATGTGGCATACCTAGTAGCCCTTGGAACACAACTATCCAAGTAATCTTTCCCTTCCTTCGCAGTTTTTGGTTCTCGAAACACGCGTTTGGGCGGCATTTCAAGGAAAAGCTTTCTGAATTTTAACAGCAGCCGAACAAGGAGCACTTTTCCCCTCTGTATGTAATTAACTTTTAATGCCTTCAAATCACGTTTAGAAAAATCCCTAGAGAGACACGGGTTTTTTGAAGCTATTTAATGCATTCATATAACGTTGGAAAAATCCCTAGAGAGGCACGGGTCTTTGAAGCTATTTTAAAAAACTCGCAGCAAGTGTTTTATCGGGTCTAAAATCACTCGGCTACGCTTCGTGTTTTTAAACCCGATAAAACACTGCTGCTCGTCTTTTAAATAGTACTTACCTTTAAAGTTGAGTTAACGAATCAGGTGTCACGTGACAATTATACAGAAGATCCCGCATCCCTGCGGGGGCATTTTGTTGCTTAACCTTCCTTCAAACAACAAACATGGCGGCATTTGTGGAACTGGAACTGTTACAGCTTTCACCTTTCGTCATTTTTGCGGCTTTACTTGTGATTTCTTTATTAACACTCAATTCGTTGCTTACGAAGAACGTGAAATACCCTCCAATCATCAAAGGCTGGATTCCCTGGCTGGGGTGTGCGATCGAGTTTGGAAAAGCACCCTTAACTTTCATCAAAGAAACCAGCGAAAAGCATGGGAAGGTCTTCACATTTTACGCTGTTGGCCAAAGAATGACTTTTTTGACTGATGTCCGTGATTTCCACCTATTTTTTAACTCTCCTCAAGCAGACTTTCAACGAGCCGTCGAAGATGCTGTGAAGAACACAGCGGGAATAAACAAGGAGGATTTCTTTGCTAATCATCGTAAAATTCATGACCTAGTCAAGGGAAGGCTATCATCTTCAAACTTGAGCAAATTAACTCCAAATGTCGGTCGGAAACTAGAAGAATATGTAAGGAATGGTATGTTTGTATAGATTTTTATTTTAAACTTCTTTTTTTTGTAGTTAACGTTGCAAGGTGAAATATTTTGTGATAATGATTACATACCTTCGGTCAAGCAGGTTAATGATGGGGTAGATCAGTGGCTATGACAACGATCTGATCTCTCAATTCTAGGGAACTATCAATTTGATTTGGTTTAATTGATATTTTCTAAACGAATTAATATGCTACAAATCAGAGCTTGAGGTCATATGTTATGTATATTTGAAAAAAAAACAAAAAAAACAAAAAAAACCGGGTCTATACACTTTGTAGAATTCATGATGTGCATAGCTATTAGCTAAGCAGATTTTCAATACTCAACCCTTGAAAGGTTTAGATGAGATTTTCTTATGTAAACCTCACAACTAAGCCAAATAACCAGAATGAAACACATCTTCCATAGCATAAAACATCAAGTGCACAATCTTTGTGGCCACTAAGTTTAAGGTGAAATGAAACACATGAAAAGCTGAACTGGTCTGTCTAGAATGGTGGGGAGTGTTGAAGCTTTGAACACCACTCAAAGAAACCTATGGGACAGTTGAGGTTTGATTTTGCACATTAATAACTTACTCCTGTGAAGGCTTGTGAACCTGAATGGTTAGTGCACTTGACATTGGATCAAAAGGTTAAATCAGGTGCTAACTTTGACCAAAGTCAGGTATCATGTGTACCAACTTTGACCAAAGTCACATATCATGTTCGTGTTATGGTGCCTCTACCATGTAGGAATATAAATGTGTGCTGATGAAAGGAAACCAATGGAAAAAAAAATACTGGTAAATAAATATACATCATGTTGACCAACCTCCCACTCAGGAGAGCTTCAGTGTTAAAAGTTCTTTAAATTGATACAATATTAAAACAGAAACATGGTTGAACTGTTTAACTCCAAAAGTGATAAACACATGACTTCTCCCTATAATATCCATACAGAATCCAATATTCAGATGACGAGAATACTCAAATGTATCAGTTAGAGGTTGCAATCTTGATCTAACACCAAATTTGTATTTGTATTTTATTGTAATTAGACATGACATGACACTTAGCAAATGACGCACTAGCCACAAATAGTAGAGCTAGTCTCGGTGGGTAGTGTGTGGATGCTAAAACATCTAAAATAAAATTCGGCTCAACAAAAGATTCGATAAATACACAAGAAACAGAAATTAGATATTAAATCAGTAAAGCACAAATGACAGTATGAGACAAAAATACAAAACAGAAACACATGACAATAAATAGAAGAATACATAAGTTATACACTACTATTAACTGGATTTAATTTCCGACACATCATTGATTATTCCTTCCATGTCAACATAACTATCCTGAACTTGAAGATTTTGAAATAATATTGTTGTTTTCTTTTCCTTGAAAATATATTTTGGAAGATTCCTTAAGTTTCAAATCCTTGCAACTTATTTAAAAGGAAATGTGTTGTAGCTAGAGAGGATAATTGACAATCAGATCTTGGGAGTTTAAGGGTTAGGTTGGTGCACAGCAAACTTAAACATGTGCATGTGAACTAGGTGACTAAAGTTGACTTCCCTCACCTTTAAACCTTGCCTAGAGTCATTTCAGCACTTGTCTACTGAGCAAGCATTATTATTTTTTATTTATTTATTTTTTGTTTGCTTTTTTCACAAAAGCAGTGGAAGGTGTGGGGATGAAGGGGGAACAACACTATTTTACGTTTATTTTCTCTTGCATGAATGACTTGAGCTTCATGCTCTCCTTATACTTGCTGAGCAGGTTATTTCAGCACAGACAGTTTCCAATGATTAGAGCACTGAGAGATTGCAAGGAATAAATGTAGGGGTGGAAAGAATAACAATTTTCAAATTATAAGGTGCTGAAATAACTCAACCCAGTCATGACTCGGTCGTAAAGTAATGACCTTGAGTAACACATTTTCCTGCCTGGCTCTCATGCTCAGTAAATAATTACGAAATTAAGCCACGTCGCACATGCTAGGCTTTGCCATTCAGTGTATGGGGGTTTCTTGCTTCCTTAGCAATAATCCTGACAATGAACCTATTTAACCCTATGAGTGACCAAGACAGAATTTCTCCTTACAATATCAATGCAATATCAAGCAGGCAAGTGATGAAAATAAAGAAACATATTAATTAGGGTATTGTTAGTTGATTCAATACCAAGTTCTTCAGAGTAACATTATAAGATTTGTATGGCAAATGGTAAGGAGAATTGCTAATAAGATCCTGGGAGTGAAAGGGTTAAGGTAATTTTTAATCCTATTTAGTTCAAAGGTTAAATACTATGTGTATGAAAGACTTTGACTCCTGTGCATTTTTTTGTCTCCTCTCATCATGTACAATTTAATTCCATTTAGCGAGAATTTCTGGCTCTGAAGTTGATTTGATGACTTTGGCACGTGATGTTGTGTTCACTGCAGTTGTACCTATCCTGTTTGGTGAGGGAATTCTTCCTCAAACTCATCAAGAATTAAAACACTTTCAGAAACAATTTGTTCAGTTTGATGATAGTTTTGAGCATGGTGCTAAGCTACCAGATTTTCTGTTGAAAGAGTGGGCAAAATCTAAATACTTTTTTTTGGATGTGTTTGGCAAAGCTCTGCAAAAGAAGACTCATGCAAATATGGATGACACATTGCTTCAAGCCATGGTTAAATCACTGGAAGGCGACTGTGCACCAAATTATGCAACTCTGCTGCTCTGGGCATCCCTTGCAAATGCAGTGCCAATCACTTTTTGGACTTTGGCCTTTGTACTGAGTGATCAGGCAATCAAAAAGGATCTTCAGCAAGAGGTTGATCAAGTACTGGGTCCATATATTGACAGTGGTAAGTACACTGAATTCTTGTAGTACCTACCTGAAGTGTTGCAAATCACTTAATATCTAAATTCTCAATGAGGTGGCACTGGCCTAGCTTGCCAGAGAGTCTCTGTGGCTCATTGGTAGAGCTTTGGAGGGTGGAGTCTGAAGGTCTAAGGTTGAAGGTTAAAGATCTGAGCCATTATTTGGTTCCTTCTGGGGGCTTAGATCTTTTCTTTGTGCCACACTCACAATAAGAAAGAAAAACATATTTTACTTGTGGATCTGCAAAGCTTAGGGAGAGTTGTGTGGGGATTTGATGTCATGGCGTATTGATGGCCTGAGGAGTCTGGAGAGAGCATGTCTCTCTGAGTGTTAAATACAGCCAATCAGGGACATCAAGACTAATTTTGTGCTGAAGGTGTACTGCGGAATGGCCTACTTATCAAAATTAGAAGTAATGATGGTTCTCTCTTAAGAACTTACTCATTTATAAGTTAATTTTGCAACCTGAGACTGTATAAGAGTTACATCCTGTACAATATATTTACAAGTTCACCAAAGATTCACTTTTATTTTAACGTTTGCATCCAAACTCTTCTAATCAAACAGCTGTAGCTGTTGACCTCTTTCGCTGGTTGTGTTAACCTTGGCAGTTCGGATATAAACTTTTACAGTAACCAGCTAGTAAGTTCCTATTGCACCTGTATAGTTGCATTTGTATACTTGATAACGACCCTCACTGGAGAATATT